AAACACTTCTCAATAATCATCAAATCCAATAATGGATATATTTAATAATTGACCTTTTTTTATTTTATATGTATATTCGATGTTGTGTGTTAAAAATAGTTGTTAAAGAAATAAAACATATCAAAGTCAATTTTTGTAAAATATTAATTTTTGATTCACTTGAGTTTATTTCTTTAGAATGTGTTTTATAATTATTTCTTTAATTATTCCTCTTGTTCTTTCTATTTATAAGTTCTAATAAAATCAAATATTTAAATGTTGATTTATTTGAATGTCATTTGTTTTTATTATTCAATTATCTATCCACCTTAACATTATATTTTTAATTATTCATTTCATTCTTTATTGTTGTTATTATCTTATTTATTATTTATTAATTTATTCTTCACTTATAAATTATTATTTGATATTGTAGATTTATCACATTCATTTATTAATGAATTATTTCTATTTCTTCTTACTCTCTTATTTCTATTTTTCTCTTTTACGATTATTACTACTCTTTATATTGTAATTGTGTTATATTCTGTGTTTTTAATCAACATTATTTGAATTCTTATTTCCTTCTTCATTAATATTTTATTCATTCTCTTTTTATATAAACACAAACACACTCTTTGAACACTCTCATTTCAATAATTATATCACTTATTCATTCATGAATCAACAGATAACAATTTATGAAGTAGTGTTATAATAATAAAGTAATTTTACTTATCTCTATTTATCAAACATTTATAAAATGATAAATAAATGTCTGATATAATAAACCAATAATTATACACAGATAATGATTGTTTAAATAAACTCTTTTATATATTTCATATCTTTCAAATTTAATTTTAAAATAGAAGTTATATTATAACTAATAGAATTTATGATAATTTCGAGTTCAAACTCTAAACAGATTTATTTGTTTTAAAAGAACTTTTTTTAATTTATTATTCATAAAAACTATAAAATTATTAAATGGAAAATAAAATAATTCAAACATCCACTCTTTCAATAGAAAAAATAAGAACAGCTATTACTAAAGAATTTAAAACGTGTCAAGATGTTGTAGAATTTTTCATTAACCAAGAGGAAGAAAGGACAAACAAAAAGATAAACAAAGGTGTTGGTGATGGATATGAAATTGCTCTAAAATCTTTCTATAACAAAGTACATTCATTAGGTGTTACAAAAAGGTCTTTTGAAGAATATTTTCAATGGTTTATTGGTGGATTAAAAAATGCAATGAACAAATTAATCAATAACAACGATGGGAACTTAGAAAAGAACCAATCAACTATTTATATTCCAATTTCAAAGTCTGGAACACCTTCAACAATTCAAATAAAAAGATGGGAAATATTTGGAATATTAGCTTGTTCGTTCTTTAATGTTCAATGGGATAAGAAAGTAGAACGTATTGGAAATCTTTCCTTTGTGTACATTTCTACGAATAGTCGTATTTCAATTCAAAGACTTATTTGTATTTTTGCTTATTTCCATGTGATGATTGAAATGGATGAAAAAACACTTCAAGAAATTGTTACATATGAACGAGTTATTCAAAAAAAACCATATGATTGGGAACATAACGAAACCCCAATTAAAACATATCCTTTTGTCAGTGGGGGTTTAGAAATGTCTGAAATGAATGTCCATGTTGACTTTGCTAATAAATATCTACAAATACATAAAATTGTACCGAGTATAACTCAAGAAGAATTACTTTTTAGTGTTAGACCTGAATGTTTAATTTCACTAATATTATTTGAAGTATTATTAGATAATGAAGCAGTACTTATAAAAAACACACTTCATATTAGTTTAAGTGAAGGATATCAACAAACATTTAAATGGATAGGTTTTTGTAAAAATCAAATATTAAAACAACCAAATATAATTCTAGCCATTGACTCAGTAATTAATACTTGTTTTGGAAAAGAAAATATTGACAGGGATTTAAATAAATGTATGGTTGGATTTCAATATGCTGGTAATAAAATTGCCACAGGTCAATGGGGATGTGGTTCATTTGGCAATGATCAATTATTAAAAATGGCACAACAATATATGGTTCTTTCAACTTTAGGTTTGGAAGCTTCAATACATTGGATGAATTTTAGTCGATATAATGAATTAAATGATTATATGGAGATTTGTAAAAGCAAAAAAATGACAGTAAAAGATATTTACTATATTCTTTGTTCATTTGATGGTGATAAGAATACATTTATTGATTATTTTAAACAACAAGTTCAATCTTTTCATAAGTAATTCATAATTGAATTAGCTTTTTATTATGCTGTCAAAAAGAATTTCAACAAAAACTTTCAAACAAAACTTCAACAAAAAATGTTATCTTAAAATTAAAGAAATTTATACAAAAAAATCAGTTATAAATTTGATTTAAAACTAAGCATGTGGAAACATAGGTTGACATTGTTGATGAGGTGGTTGTGCATTAGCTTGTCCTGGATCTAATGGTGGTTGTTGAACTTGTCTTATTCTTTGCCTACACCTTTCACACCCATCAGCTATTTCAATTAATTGACAATTAATTCGTAGAACATCATCATATTGTTTTTTTAATTCATCTAATTGTTGTTGAAGGTTGACAAAGGCTTCTTTACTTTTCTGTCTACTTTTACGAGCACTTTCTTTATTTTTTAGTTTTCTTTTAATTTTATTTAGTGTAGCCTTTTCAGTTTTAGTTATTGTCCTTCGATCTTTAAGTTCATTTACATAATCTTCAAATTCTTCAACTGTCATTGAAGCTAAATCCTCTTCTGAAAGTAATTTTTCATATGTAATGTTTTGAAATTTTCTCTTTCTACGATGTAAAGGAGTATAAGCTTGATCAGTAAATTGAGGTTGAGATGTATTAGGAAATTGAGGTTGTTGTGGTGTTGGAGGAAATTGAACCACTTGAGGAATATAAGGTGAAAAAGACTGATATGTAGGGTATTGAGACGTTCCTGCTGAAAAAGAATTTTCTTGTCTTATAGGATTTGGAGAAGAATAACCAGAATAAACAGAGTCTTCAGGAGAACCAGATGTTGCCTCTTGTTGTTGATGACTTCGGTCCATTTTCCTGTGATTTTTAAGATTTAAAAAAATTTTAAGATTATTATTGTTATAATTAATAATTCTATTTAACCATCACATTTGTTTCTTCTCTATCAAATACCACCTTTCATATTTTCATTTCTTCTTACTCTACAAGTATCTATATTTTTATCGTATAGTCTATCATTATTAAGTTCATCTCATACTCATCAACAGCTGAACTACACGTTTGCATCACGCGTCTACTCACGTGTTAAATAAAAATGACATATATAACAATATGGCACTTAATTAATTTGAATAATATCGTAAAGTTGTTGTAATTTAATAACTATTTCATTAATGCTCAAACGTTCTTTTGGATTTTGTACCCATGCTTGTTCAATTAATTCAAAACACTCTGGACTAACATTTTCTGGACAATCTAACCTATTTCCATCAGCAACAAAATTAGCTATTGACCATGGATATTTAAAGAGAGAACCTTGATAAGGAGCATCCCACATAAGTATATGAAGCATAGTAACAGCAAATGAATATACATCTGCAGGCATTTTGTATTTATCTTTTTTTAATATTTCTGGTGCCATATAAACAGGGGTTCCAATTCCTTTTGTGAATGTCATATTTGTCATTAACATGTTAATATTTCTAGAACTACCAAAGTCAGTCAACTTACCATTAATCTCGACATTTTTTTCTAATGAAATAGCTAAGATATTATCAGGTTTAATATCACGATGTAATATTCCATTTGAATGAAGATATTCAATTCCTTTAGCAGCATCTAAACAGAATTTAATTTTCAATTTTTCATCAAGTGGATTGTTTTTCATTCTTTTTTCAATTAAATCAGACAATGAACCATATTCTGCAAATTCAGTTACAAAACATAATTTATTTGGAATCATTACAGCACCATAAAAATGAACAATATATTCATTTCTAAACTTTTCTAACATTAATACTTCATCTTTAAATTCATTAATCATATTTTCTAATACCTGTAACTTTTTTAACTTTTTAATGGCTACTTTGTTCCCTTTAAAGTATCCAAGAAAAACAACTCCAAATGACCCTTCACCTATTATTCGTTCTTCAACAATATCATTAGGACTCAACCGACAACTGACTTCAGTCATACAATCAATTGAAATAGTTACTGTATATCGTTTACCAGTTGATAAATTATCAATAAGTATTTTAAAAATACCAATAAGATGTACAGAACAATGAGGATTTATAAAAACTTCAAGTTCACATCCTTCCTTTTTTTTCAAAATGATTTGAAGTGGATTTGTTCTTATTGAATAGTTTTCATTTAAATTATCTTCTTCAAGAAGTGATATTTGAAGTGTGTGTTTTGATCTATTGGCTATACAAAGCAATTCTCTAGTTTCTTTATTAACAGGAATTTCTGTTGTTTTTGTGTCAAATGTTAGTACCTTCTTATTAACTAGAATAGGACATTTCTCATTTAATTCAATCCAATGAATATTTGAATATTTAATTTCAAAATGAGTACATGTTTTTCTTGATTTATTTTGGAGATTCTTTTTATTAATATAAAATAATATTTTATACAACCCAAAGACAAATAATATAAATACTGTTATAATGATAAAAATTATTAATATCACAATAACTAATACAACCCACCAAACAGGATGTCTTTCACAAGATAATCCATCATTACTTGGAGTATACCAAAAAGTGCATGAAAGACAAACAGAATGAGATGCTTCTATACATCCTTTTACTTGATTATAAAATACACAATGACTTTCATTTGTTAAAATATAATTTTGTGTACAACCTTTACATTGTTTGTTAATTTGATTACATTCAGTACAATGTTCATTCACTTCAGAACATAAATGACATGTAAAATTTTCTAAATAATAACCTGATTCACAAAGAGAACATCCTTTATTCGTAATTTCTTCACAATGAGTTAATTCAGATATTGGAGAACATCCATAAGTAATATTTTTATAAAAATTTTTACTACATTCAGAACATTCATTTTTCTTAATACATGTTTTACAATTATCTATACATGCTCTACATAATATTCCATCTCTATAATATCCATCTTCACATTGTAAACATTTATCATTAGAATGTGGAATTGTTTGTTTACAATTTTCAATACTTTTAATAATACTAATACATGAATTTTCTTGAAGACTAAATCCTTCATTACATTCATAACATATATCAGCAGATTTAACACATTTTTTACAAGGATAATAACAAGCATCACAACCTCCATTCTTATTTAAAAAATAACCATCAGAACAAATGGCACATCTTCCTTTGTTAAATTCTTTACAATTTTCTATTGTTGGTGTTGATTGACATATCCCATCATCAAAAGTTGAGTCTAATTTTAAGTATGTTGAATCATCGCATAACGAACATTTTCCATTTACTGTACATAAACTACAATTACTTCCACATGAAACACAATTAGATCCATCAAAATATTTATCAAATTCTGTACAAACAATACACTTACTATTAACACTTGTTTTACAACCAACAGAATCTATTGGTTGACAACTCTTTCCATTTACAATGATTTTTCCTTCAGGACATTCTAAACACTGAATAGTTTCTGTTTTATCATCGTATAAACATTTGGAACAATCATTTTCACAAGAAATACAAGACCCTTTCTTAAGATAAAATCCATCTTGACAATCAATAACTTGTTTACTTGTAATTTGGTTTGTTGATTGTTTTAATTCACATTGGTTATTATTTTTTATATAACTGTTATTTACACTACAATGAATACATACATCTGAAGAAGAACAAGTATCACATCCATTAGGACAGTTAACAGAACACTTTTCCATTGAAGGATCTTGAGTTTTACCAGGAGGACAAACTAAACATATTCCATTATTCATATATTTACAATTACTTGTTTCAATACATTTTGTTCCACTTACAATATAATTGTCAAAACATAAAAGACATTTTTCAGAATTGCAAATCTTACAATTTGATGTACATGCATTACAAGAATTTCCAGTAGAAAAAAAACCTTCTTCACAACGTTCACATAATCCATTCTTACGATACAACTCACAATGTTCTATTGTTATTATAGGTTCAGTACACTCTCCATCTTCTTTTGTTAAATATCTACATATTTTACATTCAGAATTTGTATTTGATAATAACCCAGTTTTACACAATCCATATGAACTTATAATTGCATTATTTGTTGAAATAGTTATACCTAATGAGTTGTCAACAAATAAAAGTAATGGAGAAAGAGAAGTTACAATAACTGAAGATGAATTTCCAATTGACTCTACAAGAACAGAATTAAGAGTACCATCAATAATAAAAGAGTTATAAGATTTTATTAATAAATCATGGTATGAAACATAAAGAGTAGCTTGTCTTAAAAGAGTAATCAAATTATATCTTTCATCAGACTCAAATGAGTACGAATTTACTGAATCAATAATAAGATAAGTTGACACTATTGAGTTGGAATGACCTGGACATGAATAATCATGAAAACCATTTTCATCTAAATAAGAATTATCAGGTTGAGGATTACATACTTTATTTGTTAATCCAATTACAGAGCAAATTAAGTCATTTCCTGTTCCAATTACAATAGCTTGTTTATCACAAATAAAATTTATATTATTAGAAGAATGTAGATTAATTTTACGATACTTATTTAAAATAAAATTAATTGATATTGAATTTGGAATAGAAGGGATTTTCATAATATTTAATGGAGTTGTTGAGTGATCTGTTGTTATAAACATTAAGTTAGGATCTATCAATGGATTGGTAATAGACTCAATATCAATTGTAGAAACAAAGTTTGAAATAATAATTGGATTCACTACATTTACACTTCCAAAAATTAAATCTCCTTTATTTATTTCAAGTTGTTTAACATCCACATTTAACCTACTTGTTGTTTGAATCAATGTTGAAATAAAAATATTACTATCTGATTTTAATGTACTTGTTCCTAATATTTGAAGTTCTTTGATTGAAGCATAATTTATTGTTTTAAGTTGACTATTTTGATTTAAAATCGTTTTAGATTGAGAAATAACAGATGTAGAATCATCAAATAATAATGATCCATAAATATTTATTGTTTCAATTAAAATATTGGTATTTATTGGTGATGATATTGTAACTGTACTCTGTTTCTCAACAATAAGGTTAGTGACTATTAACTTTCCATCCTCAGAAATACTAATTATAGAATTTCCTGAAAGAGTTAATATATTGCATTGAAGTAATCCATTTATTGTTATAGATTGTTCAATTGAACATGACTTACTTGTGATTGAACCTTTAATAAGACTATTTTGATATTTTATCACAACTGAATTCCAATAAACATTTTCTTTATCATAAATATTATTATTTAATATTAAATTAAGTGTATTTGTGTAAATTTTACTGACTATCTCACAATCACTCAGGTCATATTGGTCATTAGAATAAGTACACTGACAGTCTATTGTTGATGTACCTTTAACATACCTTGTAAAATTTCCATTGTTACACCCAACTCGAATTGTGTTTGGTATTCCACTTGACTTAAAATACCCAATAAATAAAACTGAATCAGTGATAATTTGACTAACATCAATATCAATTGCATCCCATTCTCTAAATACATGAGTCATATCAAAATTTACAGTTGGAATAATTAATTTATTGAAATAAACAACATTACTAATAATAATTCTTTTGTTTGGTAATGTAGTTGTTCCAGTTAAATTAATAAGTTGATCATTTTCTATTGTTAAAGGAAGTGTTCTAGATTCAAATATAAATGAATTCCATTGATACCCTTTAGTAGAGTCAAGTTTAATAATTGTTTGGTTTGCAAAAATAGTTAAGTCATATAAACTACTATTATATATACAATCAGGAAAAACCATTCCAAAGTTAATAACTGATGCTGTTGATGTTGTACTTGGAATATAACATCTACAATCATTTTTTATTGAAAGAGTTTCATTTTTACACATTACATATCTTTTTAAATTAGGCTTTGAACAAACTTCATAAAAAATACAACCACTTTGTGCATCATAAACATCTACATTACCATTTGTGTTGAAAGCATAATTACACCCACTTTGAATATTTCTTTTATTAACATATAACTCTCTCATAATAGTTGTTGTTGATAGTATTTGAAGATTAAGATATGGTCTATTAGTATAGCTTTGGTATCTGATATAAAAACGTTCATATCCATTTCCAATTATTACTGCTGGTGTGTTATAAACATAAATATTATTATTAATTCCACTCACAGGAATAGAACTTCGTTTAAATATACCAACAAACCCTTCTTTAATATTTCTCAAATAAATAGAGAAATGTTTATCAGGTTGAGAGGGGTACATCCATACAGTTTGAATTTCAGTTCCTAAAACAAAATCAACAGCTTTTTCAGCTTCATTACTTCCTGGATAAATTTTATAATAAGTTTTATTTTCTCCACAACATCCTGAATTAAACTGAAACCAATCAGTCTTATTATCATAATACTGTGTAAAACCAATAAACTTTCCACAATTGGTAGATGTTCCCCATCGAATTTCATTATCATTGCTAACATACCAACAACTTCCATGAACAAAAGAAAGAATAATACAAATGAAAATAATAAAAAATGTCATGGCGTTTAAGTGATAATTAAGAATTCCATTTCTTTGTTTATTTTTTCTTTCTAAAAAGTAATGAATTTTCTGGTTAAACTTTTCGCCTTTTTTTTTACGAAAAAAAATATACTATAAATACAATTCTCTTTTTTCTCTTTCTTTATTTTAAAAAGAGAAAACAAAATAATAAAATTGGAATTATTCTATTAAAGAAATAACTAATGGATGATTAAATAATTCCTCAAATGTCAATCGTTCTTGTTCTTTAAATTCTAACATTCTTTTAATCAGCTCTATTTTTGAATGAAATTGTTCATTTGAAAGAATAGATTTAGGAAATGAAAGTGTTTTATTTGTTGAGTATGAAGCTTTTACCTCATCTGCAGTTTGTCCAAATGGAAGTTTATTTGTAAGAATCCTATAGAAACAAACTCCCAATGGATAGATGTCATGATTAATTGACAGTGCTGATCTATGACTTGAATTAAAGTCTTTTGATTTACCTCTAATTAAAATAGATTCATTAGAAAATGAACGACAATTTCCAAAATCAGATAATACAAGTCTTGGTTTTGTAACAGAGCAATCAACCATAAAATTTTCTGGTTTAATATCGCCATGAATAAACTCTTTTTGAGTTTGAAGATATTTTATAGAAATAATCATTTCATTAATAAAATGATTCATTTCCTCATTTGAAAGACTTTGTTTTAATTGTTTTCTTTTGTTTAAGTATTGATCAAAATTACCACTTTCATAATAATCAAGTAATAAATATAATGACTTTTGTGCCTTCTGTTTGAGGTGTTGAAGTTGAGAAGAAATAGAATACCAAGATGATGCAATTCCATAACATTTAATAATACGTTGATTATTACATTGTTTTAATACAATAAATTCTTTTTCCATTTCAACTTTTTTTGAACAGTCTGTTTGTTTTAAAGCATAAAACTTTCCATTGTATCTTACTTTTATAATAGTCCCATAAGCTCCATTTCCAACAATATTTAATGGAATACATTTTCTTAAATCAAATGAATCAAATTGATTTTCTTGTAATGCTTGCTGAATAATTTTTAATTGATTTATTTCTCTTAATTGTTTTATATGAATCAAATTAATGATGTCATTAAACTGTGTTGATTTAAACATTTTAATAATATCAATAACACTTTCTTGTATTTTTCTTTCATTTAAAATACCATTTAAAAAACTAATAGGAGTTACTTTAAACGTTGGCCTAAAATCATTTGCTTCTGAACAAACAAAAATCTCATTTGGTTCAAGATTAACTTTTAATTTCATTTGTTCTATATTATTACACATATTAATAAAACATGCTACATGACTACGTTCTTCGTCTTCTTTTATTTGGACATTTTTTAAATATTCTTCACAACTTATTGATTGACAATTTTCACAAACAATCCAAATTTCCTTTGACCCATTAAAAATCCCACTAATAACATTTTTTACTGGAAGAAACCATCGGTAGAAATTCTCCCAATTTTTCATTTGATTCACTAAACAAACCATTTTAGTTTGAATATCTTGTGAATATTTTTGAATGTTATATCTTATAAGTACACTATCTCTTCCATCTGTTTTTGTTACCCAAACCAGTTGACATGAAATGGTATGATCTTCATTAGAATAGAATAAATGAGGATCGACATAAGCAAATTGTTCAGTCAAATTTAATTCAACATGTTGCATACCAAACCACAAAACAAAATTTAATCTTATTTAATCACATTTTATTTTTTATCCTAAAAAAAATTTAACAAAAAAACTTTTATTTTAACGAAGTTGATTAATTTGTATGGATCAATTAAACATAGAAGCAACAACTCTCTTTGGAATTGGTTTTTCTTCATCTGAAACAGCATCAAATAATGTAAAGTTACGTTCTAAGTTTTCATTTACTTTCATAATAGAAGCAATATTACCACA